ATCCTCACCGGTTTACCAGAGGCCCAGATACCAAAGGAGTCTGTCGAGCTCTTACAGCAGCACGGAGGCAAATACATTCGCATCGCATCAGCAACATCCAGCAAGGACAGAATACGCTTCGAGTGGAACGACGTCTTTCAAACTCTATTGTCTGAAGGTCTCACAAGCGTAATGGTCGAGGGGGGAGGGCAAATCATCAACTCGTTGCTGGGTCCAGCAAATCACACTTTGGTCGATTCAGTCATTGTGACTATTGCGCCAACCTGGCTTGGAAAAGGAGGCGTCGTCGTCTCACCAGACAGAGTCTGCGATGCCAACGGAACGCCGCAAGCTGCGGCTAGATTGTCCAATGTATCATGGCACCCATTTGGAGAAGATGTAGTCCTTTGCGGGACGCTAGCTCCTCAATAATAGTCTACGCCTAGCAAACCGATGGGGAAAAGCCATTGGTTCCTACATCGTCGTATCTGGCGACGACACGTCGGACAGTATACATCTAGCAGGAGGTCCCTGCAGATGGCCATGTCGAACACAACAAAAGTACAAAACTACCAATCAATGGGCATCGCAACACCTGACATATTCCGTAGTAGTGAAACCTCCCAATTTGTAGCGGTCGTCGGCGAGCGCCGCCGAGGGTAGGGTTTGGCTCCGTGTTGCCGGCACGGGGCGACAAGCGACAGCACACCCGGTGGCCGTGCCCGGAGTGAAAATGGGGTTTGAAAGGATGCAATTAATGAATATGAACGTTCACTCATGCATCAATTGTGAATATGCTGTGATTGAAGGTTTCGCGGGAAGCGGGGGGGGGGCCGAATTAGACGCGCGGAAGTGTTCCAGAATCAAGCTAGCGAGATGATGCATCAGTGATGCACAGCTGGTTGAATGGAGGCGCGGGCCGAGGTGGCTATCCAGAGAGAGCGAGCTCCAGTATGAACGGAATAAGCATGGAGACTTGGGCCATTCGTATTAAGCCATCTACCGCTTGACAACATAATCGCGTTGAATCCAGTTGGGTCATGTCACTCACCAAATGAGGCTAGGCTGGGTTGGCTTACGAAAAGCAAAGGACGCAAGGGCCTTGGACATATCGATGAGACTTGTATGGCAATTCGCAGCCCGCCATGCCTCACAATCGCGAAGAATCTGGATCTAGGTATATAAAAACAATAAATGAGGAAGAAACACCGGGAAAAAAAAGACGAAGAAAAACTGTAGGTACATATCACGGAGTAGCTACTACGTACCCAGGTGCTCTACGACCCAACAGGCAAGCCAACCGCCGCTGCCCCACGCGACCCATGGCCAGCAAGCCATGCTGGATAACCTGAGCTCAATCAGGCTACTTAACCGCCGACATCTGGGCCAGAACCCACCAGACACTTTCCGCAGAAGCAACGACGACGTCAATCGCAAACCGTAAACTCACCTGTGTTTCCACCTCGGACGGGGTTCGCCAGCCCCTTCTAAAGCCATCCATTCTCCCTTTTTTCCAATAATCCTCACCCTCCTCCCTCTTCGCATGTAAAATCCCAAGAAGCACGAAAGAGCAGCACCGCCCCCCGCCCGCCATGGCATCCCCCCACCACCGGCCGCGCATCACCATCCTGGGCTCCCTCAACATCGACCTCGTCAGCTACGTGCCTCACCACCCCCTGCCAGGCGAGACCCTGACGTCGACGCACTTCAACACCTCGCCCGGCGGCAAGGGCGCCAACCAAGCCGTGGCGTGCGCCAAGCTCTCCCGCGCGAGCGACCTGTCCTCGCCGTCGGCGGACGTGGCCATGCTGGGCGCCGTGGGCGCCGACGAGTACGGCACCACGCTGCTGGGCAGCCTCACCGGGTACGGCGTCGACACGTCGGGCGTGGCGGTCCGCAGGGGGGGCAGGACGGGCGTCGCCATCATCGTCGTCGACGAGCCCTCGGGCCAGAATCGCATCATCCTGTCGCCCGAGTCCAACCACAGCCTCCTGCCGGGGCACTTCGAGGAGCTGCCCGCCCCGAAGCCAGACCTGCTCATCATGCAGCTCGAGGTGCCGTTTGATACCGTCATGCAGGCTCTGGGGGCCGCCAAGAGCGAGGGGGTCCCCGTCTTGTTGAACCCTGCGCCGGCGCGGGCTCTCCCCGCCAGTGCGTACGACGGGTTGGCGCACTTGATTGTGAACGAGACTGAAGCTTCCATCCTCTCCGGAAGGCCCGAGTCGGAGCTGGAGGACGAGGCCGGGCTTGACGGCGTTGCCAACATTTTCCTCGAGCGTGGGGTATGTAATGTGGTGATTACACTTGGCGGACGCGGCGTGTACTATGCCACTCAGAGTGGCAACAGGGGGCTGGTGCCTGCGCTGAAGGCAAATGTCGTTGATACCACGGCCGCTGGCGATACATTCGTTGGGTCGTATGCGCTATCTATAGTAAATGCTGGTGAAGGCGGGTTTGACATCGACGCTGCTGTCAAGGCGGCCAACAGAGCGTCAGCCATCACAGTGTCAAGAAAAGGTGCTCAAATATCTATTCCCTGGAAAGACGAGCTACAATAGACCCATTTCTTTTGACGGGAAGGATATGAATGAAAAAAAAAAAGTGGTCAAAATGCCCCAGTCTTGACTTCTGGGCTTGCCTCTAAATCTACTGGTGCGAATGATATCTAAAACCACGATCCCCAGTCCCAAAATTTAGAGTCCTTGTGCTTTAGCCCCATAACCGACCCTTGGCTCGTGGCTGGGTGCATTCGAATCAGATTCTTTTCCGAGGTTGGAGTAGGCGCCAATGCTCGTAGTGCCCTTTCTCCGAAATAGTACATATCGCGAACTGGACTTCTCGAACTCCGTCCTGCTTCCTGTAGTTTATCCACCGATGCGCGTCGACTTTTCGAGAGGTAATTTGCACGTGGGCAGTTCATAGAAGTACCATCGAGAAGGTAACGTTGCAGTCCAGGTGATCCGTGAAGAGAATCCATGTCAAAGTCGAACGTCATGCGAACAGATTCAGTAATCTGAGGGCTTGTAGCTGGGGCAACATCACGCCCAGTGTCCTTCACTCGTGTGACCTGAGAATCCGTGATGCGCCTCTGCGTACTGATTGCCTTCTCGTCTCCCCAATGTTGCACCATGAGAGGAAACAGGCTATTCTGCGGTGCTTTGCTTCGAGGGGACCAAAGAGAGCCTCCAGATTTCTGTGTAATGGCTGTCGTGGCTGTCGTTTCCATTCGACTTTGGAGGTGGCAAAGGCCACTTTGTGGTACCTTTTCATTTATGATTTCTGGGAAAGCCGAGTGATGATATGATACTCGAATGTTCATAAGTTGCGTTTGAATATTGCCCAGCTGAAGTTCTAGTTCTTCCATTAGTTCATTAGACCTTGATCGAGCGTGTCCTATCTCGGATCTTCTTGTCGCAGTATGCAGCTGAACGTGAACCACAATCAGTACACTAGTCCCAGCATAAATAGTCCTGTATCTTCCTTGTTAGTCATATATGCAGCAAGGCTAACGACGGCCGGGAGACGAACGTGGGCCATGATTGTTCCTGCACAACTTCCAAAATAGCAGTTCCTGGTACTGCCGACACCTCTACAGTTAAATCATATAGACATCCAAAGTCAAAGAATCGATCTGTCAATAATATCAGCAGCTTATCCTCAAAGGAAGAATCGACACCGGCAGGGGGTAAACCATACCCAGCTTGTGATTGACATATACTCCAGCCACTATGTCATTTTGTGTCTCATTAGGTGCCAATATCTTGCTTGATGATATCTGAGAAAGCTTCCCGGATACTTCTACAGCAACCCAAACACTGCTTTCGGATCCATCCAACTCCAATTGTTGCGGGATTGCCACGATACGAGGCGATAATATGTACGTTCTCGTATTTTGTGACATCTGCCGCGGGCTTAGCTTGTTAGAGGTAGAGGCAGTCCCGGGTGCCTGGGACTGGAAGACCCCGGTGGATTGACAATACTGCTGAAGATTATTGTCATCGGTAGTTTTAGGCTCCATTTCGTATGACGACGTCGATGATAATCGATCGCCGTCGGTGCACGTCCGCGGTTGAGAGGAACACGTTGACGAAAGTCGCCCGCTTGACCCTGTTTGCGACGAACTGGAACGGCCAATAGTTAGGTATCGCTTGTAGTTCCTCATATTTGGAGTCGACTTCCTCAATAGTCCTCGGCATCTGGAAATAGCTTCCTCCCATGATCGAGTCTGAGGGTGCCTCAAATCCACCGAGCTGGCCCAAAAAGCTCGTCCTGTCGGGCTCTGGTGCTGTACGCGTCTTTTGCAGATTTGCAAATGTTTTGTCCTATCGGTTATACTCGATACATCGCTGTCACTGTCGTCTATTGCTAACTTTTTATTGGCTCTCAAATCGACGTCGTAGCTGTTGCCCCGACATCGCTTAACAATACGCAAAGGGCTTGGCCTATCCCGCTTGGCTTTCTGGCGTCCTTCCATAGACCGTTCATGGTAAGATGCCATTCTAGTTATGTGTTGTAACCGGGGTAAGATTTTTCTGTAACTAGCGGAAGAAGTGAAAATGGCATTTTCCAAGTGAAGATGCGTTGCGGAAGGCCAAGACAGAGATTCTCAGAGGAAGATACGTCCGTTGTACATAATGAAAGCGATCATGACGGCCGTGGGGAGGGCAATTAGGGAAAGCGCAAACGCGCCCAAAACGAAGTGCCAGAGTTCCCAGGCACCGTGAATTATGGGCCCACGGCGGTCCATTGCAAAGATGCAATCGGCAATGGAATGAAAATAAAATACGAGAAGCTAGGTACCCAAGTGACGAAGTTTCGGAGGCTGTTTTAAGTTGGGTATCAACGAGAATCGCTAGGACTAGGCTTTCTATCAAGAATTTAGGAAAGGAGGGATGATTCAGTGGTGACGAGGAACCTATATCAAGAAAGATCGTGAACGGCAGTCATCCACTGCAAGCGCATCTTCAGCTCGATGAAAAGGCAGAGCGGACACACCATGAGCTCAAAGAAACGCCAAATACTTAGGCCACACTGCCGAGTGTACGACGAATATTATCCTTCACAGACTCCACATCCGTTTCTTCCATTGGGAGAAAGTGAATCTACATACGTTTTGTAAGCCTGCACCCAGTCAGTATTGGCGTTGTTTGCTTACCATCTCATCAGGCACGCCTGATCCTCCGTACAACACGGGTTCAGAAAGACTAGCCGCAACTCCCTTTTGCACTCTGTCCTCCCACACCCCATCCCAATTCCACTGACCAGGCTGCCGCGTCGCTGTGGTGGGCGATGGAGCTGGCTCCTCTGCCTTCCCAGAAGAGCTATTTCGGACACCGTCAGTATCGAAACTATCGCCACCACCGGGCTTCTGATCTGCGAGCTTGCCAATTTTCCGCCTGTGCGCGCGCCACGCATGCCATGCTCCAGGATTTCCCGAGGCTTCTAGAGGAACCATGTCAAGAACTTCTGGCGTGTCAAAGGTGCTGCGGATATACTTCAAAATACTGTAAATAGACATGCCTGGTTTGCAGTTCTGGCTATAATCTGGAGAGCTTGCATGAGGTGGCTTCGGCGACATGACAACACCATCAGGTGGCGCGCCAGTCCCGTCAGACCCTGAGCTGACAAGTCTTTCGCCACTAGCCAGTCTGTTCCCAGACTCGGTACTTGGCCCACGGCCAAACCACCGTGGGAAACCATGCCTCAGGCTGAATCCGCCAGGCGGTAGTTGTTCTTGATCGGTAGCGCTGCCAGTGCCTCTATCTTGAACATCCTTTGCGTGCACATATGTCGTAAGGGGGGTGATGAGTGGGTGAAATATATCAGTCGAGAAGAGAATCAGGGGCGGAAGCTTCGGGTATGTGTCTGGGAAGGAAATCTGGAACCGTAGAACGGCCGCAGCGTACGGTCCTGTATCCTTTTGGTTAATTCGTCTAACTGCGACAGGCACATGACAGTCTCGGTCGGTGGTGATTCTAACCATCGCGAACAAACAGAACTGCTGACCACAGTGTAGGGTCTCCAGGGGTTAGACTAAGGAAAACACCTTCAGGACATGCTTGCTTCAAGCCCGTACTGGACACGCGCAGTTAGTCATTTGGAATGTCACACAGACTGGTCCCAACCAACAATTCAGATAAGAGATGTTGTATTCGTAATGATGGAAGGTCACCTGGGCGAGCCATCCTCACTGCATCTGTCACGGCCGTCATCGCTGCCTGGTAGTAGAATGAGATGTGGTCGGTTTCGAATGGGGACGACGCCTTGGGAAGCTATCTAAATTGGGCGGTGTGTGAAGCGGTGAGGAATTCTGCCGGTGGGAACTGTCGCGCGACATCATCGCGGGGCTCAGAAGGAGTCACATCGCGGGGCAAAATTTGGCTGGATGAGGGCTATATCACGTAGCGTAACCCAGATAATCGTGTGATCAAAGCCAGGCATTCGCTCCCCCGTTTTTCATTGAGTCAAGAGGGAAAGTTTTATCCATATAAAATAATGTAAAACTCGTTCAATCAATACTGTCCACCGGTGCTACCCAAGCTCCTGATGTTCGATTTTTCCTTGCCACCCAAGTTACGATGAGATTCTCAATGTTGGTGGATCATTGACCCAGGCGCTTCTCGATCTTGGACTTTTCATGAGCCTTGACTTGGTCCAGGTCGTCACGTGTGGCATTGTAAGCAACAGTAACCTGGTTGAAGGGATTCTCAGGGCTCTTGTCGAACTCCTTCCTGATCCTCTGCTTGCGCTGCTCCAGACGCAAGCCAACGCCGCTGCCATCTGCCTTCATCTCAGCGAGTCTTCGCTCCTCATACTTGGCATACGCAGCAGCAAATCTCCTCTCGGGATGCTTGTCAATCTTGGTATCGTCGGACCCGGTCGCCAGCGACAAGGCATCGAGCGCATTATCGATACCGGAAGCGTTCAGTGTTGAAGGTACACCGCCGTCAAGTTGGGAGAGGTCCAAGCCGCGGGACTTCTTAACAGGAGCTTTTGATTTCTTGGGCTCGGCTCGTCCGCCCAGGCTAGCTTCCTCCTCCTTGAGAAGAGCATCCTTCTCGGCCTTCTTTGCAGCCTGTTCAGCCTTCTTGGCGGCCTCGGCTTCCCTGGTGACAAGAGACAATGCTTCTATCAGTATTCGTGCGCGAGATCCTACAGACGCACCATGTTTTGCCACACTTACTTCTTGGCGTTGCTCTTACTCCCCTTCTGCCACTTATCGGCTTCCTCAGCCTCCAGTCTGGCATCGGCAGCTGCGGCCTTTTGCGCAGCAGCCTCAGCCTTGCGAGCGTTGCCGGCGACCTTCTTGGAGTTCTCGCCCTTCTTGCCAGCCATGACGACAACAATGGCTCGGCAATGCTCGGAAGAAGCTCGGGTGACAACGAAGTCGGTGCAGGTTCAGACCGCTCCAGGTGTGTGCGGTTTTTCTGATGGCGGATGCGTCGGGTGGTTGCGTTGGCCGATTGTTGTGGTACCGGCTTCAGCGTGGTTGCAATGCAGTCTGGTGTTTTCGGAGGATGTCTGGTGGTTGTCGGTGCACGGATTGGCCAGCCACAGGGATTGAGGTTGACCAGACCAGACAGCACCAGACCAGACTTGAGTGGCCCCGGCCACGACTTGAGCCTGGGTCTGATTGACAGCACATGTGCAGGGCGGCGAGCAGGGCCCAGAGCCAGCCAGCTTGAGCCTGGCAGCACTGGTGGTGCCAGCAGCAGCTTGAGGTTATGTCAGACACAGGACACCGGCACTCTGGGGGGCTCCGTTGTCTTGCTGGCTGCCGCGTGGTCGGTCAGGGTGGCTGGATGGCTCAAGCGTGGTCTGGTTCAAGCTTCAACGGTCGAAAGCTGCCATGACGGGAGTGGCTGCGGGCGCTGGAGGGGCGCGGCGGATGCGGCAACGTCTGTCAAGGTTGATGTTGATCGACTCGAAGCGTTGAACCGCGCTGCAGCCTTGGACCAGTCAGAGCAAAGCAGAGCTAAGTAAGGCTGCTAGTTACATGTGGCCAATTCCAGCCTTGAAAACATGGAAGCCTCAAGGCCAGAGCCTGTCATGTCAGCACCTGCCTGTCAGCACCTCCCAGCTTCCAGCTCCCAGCTCCCAGCATCCAGCATCCAAGAAGAGGCACTGGATGTCGTCGTCATGGTTCAAGCGACTTCAATGTTCCAAAACCCGGCACCCACCTGCCGCTTGACCAGAGGCATATCGGCCCAAGCACCTGAGGATCGTCGAGGGCCCGGCTGTCGACGTGTTGTCCACCTGCTGTCCCCCTGGACCGGGCCTGCTGCATGTATTCAATGTTGTATGGACTTTACTCTGCGGTATCTCACCGATGATGCCAGACCTGGGGGTTTGAGCTTCAAGGGACCTGTCGTGCACGTACCGCTGGCGTGCTCGGCTGTGGTCGGCCATGCGTGATTGCGTTGCGCCTTTGTGCGCTGTTCGCCGGCAGCTTTGCAAACATTTGTTCCATTACATTTGCACCGGGCAGAACGCACAACGCAAAGCGCGGAACGCACCACGTACAAGGCAACTCGCACTTATTGCCGACTCTAGATCGAGTAGACGCGTGAGGGCAAACGCGAGCACGCCCGTTTGGGCTCTTCACCATGCATGACAACGCCAGCCGTTTCAATCAAACCCCCCTTGTCGCCTCCTCTCTTCTCCTCCTCTTCTTCCCTTTCTTCCGTCACCGGCCTCACCGGCCTCAACAAGCCCAGAAGCGATGTCAGAAACCCGTCCGGTACGACAGAGCTACATGCCGTCTACACGGTAGCTAATACCAGTCTCTTATATCGCCGCGTGGATGGCACGACTCCCAGATGACCACGGCGGAAGGGGCGCATATGCGTGGCCGAGACCTCCTGGCACAATCATTTGCTGCTTCACCATGGCCATAACCGCCATAACCAGAACGGCACCCGGTCTGACAGAATCATGGCAGCTGACTTGCCCAGCTATGCAGACTCTCTGCAGAGAGTCTGCATGAGAGTCTGCATACACTTTTCCAGCGTCAAGTTCGTTCTGAGGGGGGCCATTGGTTACCATGGGTTCTCATGCGCCCATGAGACCGTGGAAAAAGGCTCCTCCTATTCGAGCTTGTCGCAACAACTGGCGACCATCTGCTTATCTAGCCAGCGCAGCTTGCGCTTCAAATGCTGCCGGCTCCGAGGCGAACCGCAGAGTACCCAAGTCCTTCAGCATCATCTTGTGCACACACATCCTCGTCCGTCACAGTCACAAAGGCGGTCCCATGTGCTCCATTTGTGTAACTTGGTCGACGTCATGCCAAGTTTGGGGGCATTTTCTCCTCGGCGGGCGCAATCTTCTTTCATTTGGTGCAAGCCGCATTATATTCCAATTTGTACGCAACTTAAGACCATCTTTTGTGATCGGCTCCGGACTGCCCACCGCTACAACTGGCCGTTATAATGGACGGCGTGCTAATTCCCGACGCGCGACACGGCCTTCACGTTCATCTATCCAAGTACGAAATTACACAAGTGTACGTTGCCGTCGTTTTCTCGCCTCCTCTCCCTTCTTCTTCTCTTCCTAACTTTGAGCAAGTACTGCCGATAAATCGAAGTAAGATGAAAACAATTAAAACGGACAAGCACAGAGCGGGGGCATTTTAATATCCCGGTATCTAGATCTCATTTGTGATCTGTTCATACCAGTCCTCACAGTAGTGAGTGGTGACTGGTCGTTTTAAAATGTTGAGCTGCACGTCATAGTGATCATTTCGTGCGGCACATCTTCAAGCTCGCAATACTATCTAGCCATGTGCTCAAAAGTCTCACACAAGCATCTCGTACGTATTCGATTGAGCTGTCATGGGCATTACCCTAGTGTGAAACAAACACTTTTTTCTTCATCGTCTGACGGCTCTTTGCTTCGGTTCTCTCTTGTCATTGCCGTTGTGGGTGTGGCTTTCGGTCTCACAATAACGCTCACCTGCCCAACTGAACAAAGGGACTCAGGATTATCACCACCTACCCAGGGACCTAGATGCCTACCTACATACCTAGGTAAGTAAGTATGTGCGGAGTGCGGTAGGGAGGGCTACCTATCAATGTCTCACCGGGGTGAGTCGACAGTTTGTGTGTCATTGGGTAACGATGTCCCCGGAGTCCACCAGCAGCACATGGCCAGGTTTCATTGCCGCTGGTGCTTACACAAAGATATGCTTCCGCAAAGAGCTGGGTGGGTCAGCCCAAAATAAATAAATAAATAAATAAAAAAGAAGAAGAAAAAGAAAAAGACTGAAGAGTGAAAATCCGGAGGTTGGCAGAAGCGTGACACGCACGCCACTGAGGTCGGTCATGGTTTTCTTTTTAGTGCCTGACGTTAGTGTGATGGGGCATGGCAACCGATCCTTGCCATGGCGTCCATGTATGAACAGAGAGTACTGGATCGTGTTGTCAAGCGTTGGAGACACGCAGGCCATCACCAAAAGATGCAGGTCTGGCTCAACTACTCCGTACATGGTGTGGAATCTCGAATTCGACGTCCTCCTGCCTCCAAAGTGACTCCGGTGCAGCGGATAGCGTCACAATTCATCACTAATATGGCATTGACAGCATCTTCTAGTGCATGAAACAATAACTGCTCCGGTTCAAAGAAAACAGATGGACCAATCGGAGCCTGTGGTGTATTGGCGGCCCAGATCCTAGTGTATGTCAGATATCACATTCTCCTAACAAATGTGACAGGTCAGGCATTTGAATTCCGAGACGAACTTCCCGCTGAAGAGCAGTATTCAGTCCGATTCACTCTATGTGCCTAGTAATGCAGTTCATGTCAAAAAAGGAACGCAAGTAGCTCGGGCACGCGTGTACAACGGTTATGAACGACCACGTCTGCCTGGGTAATGAGGTCACGCCCTGTATCAGTCGTACACTTGCAGGCCATTGCGGTCAGCGCGGGCTGCAGCATCTCAGAGACAATCTCATGAGGGAGGTGGCGGGGGTTGATGTCATTACTATAAGGAATGGTCACAAAGTATGTTCTAGTTGATGAGGGCCTCATAGAAATGTCGTCTCAATTAGATCAAAGTCGGTGTATAAGCACACCATCAGACAATGCAGGCGTTATAATGTCTTTATATACTGTGCAACACGCCCTCTGTACCTTGTAGCATGTTAGCGTAAAAAGGATCGCCTCGGGATAGACAAATATATCTTGTCAGAATCTGTGGTGCCTCATGCGGTTCCGTTTGTTCCTAGGCCCTGAAGTAGTTACGCACCTCTGCTTGGTGGTCGATCCGAGTTTCTGGTGGTTGGAGACGTATGCAGTTGGAGTCCTGCATAGAGCTGAAGACGGGATTGGATTCGCCGTGCTACATTTCAACTAGGTACTCCGTACGACGGAGCAAATTAGATACATCTGGTGTCGAAAAGTGTAGCTGGCTACACAACGAATGGAAGGAACGCCTGGCAAGGAATACGTACTGATCCGGTGTTGCATCGTTAAATCACGGGCTTATATGGGTGTTCCTGACGACTAGTCTCCCTCTAATAATAGCAGACGGCTATAGTCGATGAACTCATCATGAGAAGTAGAAAGATACGTGACTATGTGTCCACGAGCAAGCCCAATTAGGCGCCTATGCCGAATCTCACTCAGTACCGCGCTACTTCCGTCTCTTGTACGTAGTACTCCGCAGTTTGGGTTTAACTTCATCCTAGAACTTGCGTTGCAGCCCTGCACGGAGCCATATTCAAAGTCGTAGTACTGGTTACCCGTAGACTACGTCCATGGGCGGTGAGAAAATCAGGCAAGCTGGGTACAGCAGTCAGGCGATGTTCCAAAGACTGTCCGTGACTGCTCGCGCGAGACTCAGATCAACTCATTTCAATTGTCAATGGCCAGAGTTGCAGTTCGACGTGTACAGCTCAAGCCACGACCATCTTGGCGGTCCAACCAATGCTCGTCCGAGTATCACAGCAGAAGTAACTAGGCGTCGAATCGGTCCACACAGCTTCAAAGCAGGGAATGTGGTCGGCGTGTCGGGCACAGAGCTGTTGTTCTCGAAGCCGGTGTGACGCAGAATGATTCCACAACCAAGCCATCATCGTTCGAGTAAAATTGCATGGCAAAGCGTAATCTTGCATTTGCGCAACTCGATTGACGCACAGGGAACCTACTGCAACATGGGAGTCCCGAATTGCCTACCTAGGTACTCCGTAGTCATGCAAAGGCCAGCCATCATCTCAATATCACCAAATAGCCCGGATGCTGCCAATAGTTCCTCTGCTCCTTCCAAATTTGTAGCATGCGCACAGCTTTGTCACATCGTCGGGCAAGAGCGGTCCAGAGCGCTGGCAGAGAAAGCTGAA